AATCTTAAAAGTTCTATGGTCATAGTTTAGTCAACTAGTTTAAGGAACAAAATATATGTCTAGTCAAGGTTTATCAAGAATATTTGCTTTTCTACCCAAGGTTTATCTACATAGCATATGATAATTAAAAGTACCAGACTGGTGGAACTAAGGAGCCAGGAGCGCCTCCCAAGCCCAAGTGACCCCTGAGGGACAGAACCTCAAACGACCTGAAGTGTAAAAATAAATTGATTTATTTGGACCAACTCTATGGTCTTAAACACCCAAATAGAAAGTATAACCAAAGAGTAAAGTCATCAGTATACTTCTTTAAGAGTTCAAGGGATTACACTTCCCAGACATTAGGAATAAGTCTCTATAAAAAGTTACTTAGACAGTTATTTCTCATCGATGATTTTGTTTCTAAGCAGAAAGTGCTGCTCAGATGTAAGACTTCAAATCTTGGTCTGCAATACTGTAGTGCCCACCTGTAGCTAAGGGAGACAACCAGCTATTGTTCTAAAATGATGGATAAATTTGTTTTCTCCCCTAATCTAGAAGCCCTTGTGAGGGAACTAACACTGATTCTAACCACTCCAAGCTAAATCCTGAATCCACCACTCTGGAGTCCAGCCTTGGAAGACAAAAGAAAAATTAGGAGGAACCCAACAGAGGGATGCTTTTGGAAGCCCTGGTCAAGAAATTCCAATGGACTCTCGTGAACATTTGAAAATTGCCCTGTTCTGACTTTTTTCTAGCTCTGTCCAGAACTTGTAATGCTAATTACTCTTGCCTTTACTTCTCCTTCACATCTTCTATTCATAATTCAAGGGCTTTCTTTTCCCCCTAGAGATGAGCTATGCAATTCGGGAGTCTTTTAGATAGACCCACTAAAGGGGTACTCCAATTGCCTCACCCTGCGTCCCTGTTCAGCATGGAAGAAGCCAGAACGGTCTGGGTCCTGATTCCCTATTGGCAATTTGAGTAACCTTTTCAGAAGATGGTGTGATAAGAATAGGAGGTAGGAATTGGCTAGGCAGTTAAGGTAAAAAGACCCCAAAGAAAAGTAGCCAGTTTCT